TGATCTCGAATTATCAGCCTCCAGATCCATGAGAAAATAAATTTCTGTTGTTTAATCCACCTAATTTGTGGTATTCTGTTCTAGCAGCCCAAGTAGACTGATTCAATAATATGTGTTTCCAACAAGTGAGGCAGGGACCTTGCTTCACCCATCTCTGTACCTTGAGAACCTAGCACAGATCTGACACTAACCGTGTAGTTGGTGAATATCTGCTGAATGAATGTGCATAAAGCAGGAAGGACAATTTAATCCCAGCACTTTGGGAGTCCCAGGTGGGAGGTTCACTTGAGCTCAGGAGTTTGAGACCAGCCTGGGCAGTAAGGCCTTGACTCTACTAAACAAAAATAAAAAATAAAAAAAAAGTGGCTGGGCATGGTGGTGCTAGCTACTCCAGAGGCTGAGACAGAAGGATCTCTTGAGCCCTGGAGGTTGAGGCTGCAGTGAGCGCGCCACAGCACTCTAGCCTAGGCGAGGAGAGGAGAGGGGAGAGTGGAGAGGTTGAGGCTGCAGTGAGCGAGCCATAGGCAACGAGAGGAGAGGGGGGAGAGAGGGAGAGAGGGGGGAGGGGGAGAAAGGGGGAGGGAGGAGGGAGGGAGGGGAGAAAGGGGGAGGGAGGAGGGAGGGAGGGGAGGGGAGGGAGGAAGGACAGACCCTGTGTCCAAAGATAAAACATTTTAAAAAAGAAAAAAAACTATAGCTACTATTGAATGTTTTTTAAGGCAGGCATCATGCTAGATAGATTACATGAGTGATGTCATTAAATCTTCTGGACAAGTTTGCTTTATTTCACCCCTCCTGACCCCAACACTCAAGAGAAAGTGGTAGGCTACATGGTAGAGGGCCTGCTTTTGTGTGGTGGTTATACATAACCCCAAGGTTACAGCAAGGAAGGCAAATCGAACTTAGGGACTAAAGTTACTGTTTATAACACAAACACTATAAAGGAAATAATTACATTTCCGAGGAAGAGTACAAAGAAAGGAGGCACTGTGATTTGGTAGGACCTTAAAGATGCAATGTCACTGAAGTCGGGAAGGAAAGTGTTTCACGGAGAAGGGCGTGTTCAATGCGTGGAAGCCTGCAGAGAGTAGCTAATGAAGACTCAAAAAGGCAAATCAGAGCGGAGTTACAGTATTCTGGTGTGGTTTCTAGACTATACGGCGTTACGAAAGAAAGTGGGTAAAGGCAGAGATCACTCACATTCAAGAAGTTCAGATGTAAGAGGAAGAAGAGTGGGTAAGGTGCAATCTTTGATTGCAAAACAGCAGTCGCCAGAGGAGAAGGGGCTAAAAGTTGAAACGAGGAAGAAGGCTCGGAGAAAGGTGTCAGGCAAACCGAGTTTAGCAAGCAGCTATTAGGGCTGGTCCTACCGGGATGAGAGAAAGGCGCAGAGGCCAGCCGAGTGGAAAGAGCAGCAGTGACGAACCGGTTCAACTCAGACGTCTGACGCTTTTCGCCAAGGGGCCAGCGCGGACGGCAGCGCCTCCCAGGGACCGCTGGGGAGCCCAGTTTCTGCGCGGGCTCCGCCCGACCTCCAAGGCAAACCTCGGAGGTTCAGAGACCCAGGCCCCTCCGGCACTCACCCCACTGCCACGCGGCGCCAGCGCCGTACTGGCCGCACGATAAGCGCGTCCCAGGCGGCCGCCAACCGGCCCTCGGGGGAGACGGGTCCCGGGGGCGCAGACGCGGGTCCCAGACACAGCGAGCTCCAGAAAGAGCGCAGCGCCGAGCCTGGCAGCTCTGGCTCCAGCAGGAAGACGCAGCCCACAGCCAGCGCCAGGAAGCCCGCGTACGCAGAGCCGCGCCACAGCGCCATGGGGACCGAGGCGCCGCACCTGCGCGAACCGACTCCTTTCTTAGTCCGCGCCTCTTCCGGGCTCGGCGCGCGCCGATGTCGACACAAGCTTACGTCACATGGGCGCTCCACGGGGGCCCCTCAAGGGGCGGGGCGACAGGCGGCGCCACGACGCAGCGGGTGGGGATCATGCGCCTCAGTCCGAGTCTTGGCATTGCGGGGTCGCGGTCCCGGAGGTGATGGGACAACTGCAGTTGTCCCAGTCCGGGCACTGCACCGGCACCCCCTTTCCCGGAACTCCAACCGTATCCTCAAATAGAGGGATGGGAATACATTTGCTTTCCCAGTAAAACAAAACATTATGAGGAAGAGGACAAACCTCGCGTTAATATTCAAACCAGTCGATGTCCCCATTGGCACGGTCACAGCCCCTTTTTTTAATCCGACCCTCCGCCCTGTGCCCATCCTCCCTCGTTTACTGGACTCGTCTTCCTCCTGGCCCGGTGTTTGGCGTTTCTGAGAGGGATAGGCTTACAGGCCTTGGACCTCTTGCCGAGACCCTCAGCCACTAAAGGACTTCGTGGAGACTGAGGAGAGCCTGCAGATTGGCAGAGATCGGTAGCGATCGTTCTCTTCTGGATAACCAGATTCCACATTCGAACCTTAAAATAACCCTTTGGGGGCGCTGTTCCCTTTAACAAACTCAGGAAAATGTACACAATCTTGTTCACAACTCGGGAGTTACGGATCTGGTTTAAGAAAAGCTGGTTTCTTTTGTTCCCCCTTGGTGACATCACTTAAACCCAGCCCTGTCATTGGTACGACCTTTCTGTGCATGAGGCTAGGCTGAATGACAATGACGCTAGGCTTGGTACCAGCTCATTCTCGGCAACCACCATGCCCAGCCTAGTCTTGTTCCCTGGCCTGTTTCCATTTTTCCAGTTCTGTTGGCTTCTGACCTTGGCTTTGTGTCTAGTTTTCCACTGTGACCCTGACCTTTGGACTTGGCAGTGAAACTTTGTTTCCCTAACTTTGATCTTGGGCATTAGTCTTCATTCTCCCCAGCCCCACCTCATCAGCACTCCCCTTCCTCACCTCATCAGCACTCCCCATCCGTCATCGACCTCCCGCAGTTCATCCTATCCAGGCTACCTGACCATGCCATCATCCCTTTCGACAAAGATGTTGGTCAGGTTTCCATATGCAAGCCTGGAGCCTGAAAATCTGAAGTCCTGCTTGCCTCGGGAGCTCCCCCAGACAAGCCCCTCACCCAACCCTGCCACCTTAACTGTACTTGTGGTCATGTATACTCCTTGCCCCTATCCCCACCACTGTAACTAAACTTAATCTGCAAACACCCCTTCCCCGCAAAAAACTACCCAAACCTATAAAACCAACTCCTATCCCACTGCCCTTTGCTAATGCCCTTTTCGGCCTTAGCCCACCTGCACCCAGGTAAATAAACAGCCATGTTGCTCACATAAAGCCTGGTGGAAAGGTCTCTTCATTTAAAGCGCGCGTCTTTCAACAATGTTCACACAGGAAGAGATTTGGGCTACCTTGGAAAAGAAGCCAAGGAGCCAGTGAGATCTGTGTGAAGCCATGAAAGCCATCTTCCCTAGAGTTGCCTGTCACTTCTCTCTCCCCGAGGAGACATGTCAGTCAGTTCCCAGAAAAACTGCTCCTTCTTAAAGCCCTCAGCTGTCAGGTTTCCCTGCCACCCACAGGAGACTGAGCCAGCACCTGACTCCAAAACAGCGAGTCTGCAGACTGCCAAGCGACCATTTCCCTCTACTGAGAATTTTAACCAAGTGTCTGGTGTCTGCAGTTATTTGATATTGGCTGCGGACCCACAAAATCATGCAGAATTGGAGGGCAGAACCAGTTAAATGTGTTTCCAAGGTGAAGTTTTGGGGAGCACAGGAAGCTGAACTGTGGAAAGGCCATGTAGCAGACGGATCTAGAAGACTAGGAGAGTGCTCCTCATTAAAGTGTTGTGGACAGAAAGCTGCCTGGGGCTTTCTCGCTCCCACCAGAGGCTGCTAAACTTTCAGCACTTTGCACCTAGTTTTTCTGCTGTTTTCTAAGTTCACCAGAACTTTTGATTTAGTCACAGAGACAAAACAATAGCAGTTGAACAAAGTGGAATTTTATTTCTCATGTAAAAGTCCAAACGGGGTGTTGGTATGTTGCAGGCTGTGGCAGCAAGCTTGGCACCCTCTGGTTGCTATGGGGCTGCTCCAGGCCTCTTGCTGGTTGCTCACTCAGTGTGGGTTTGCATTGTGGGTGGTGAAGGGGCCAGACAAAGAAACAAGAGAACTGACTTCAATTCTAACTGAGAACTGAAGAGTCAGGAGCCACAGGAGGTGAAGAACAGAACACCAGGGACAGTTGCCAGGCCTGGTGGAGCCTGATGTGGCTTCTGGTCACATACATAGTCACAGGCCCCTTAATTCTTTCTCATCAGGGGCTCAGGGCGGGCAGGCATTCACTGTTTGGTACCACAGTCCCTCTTGAAATATCTCCTTAATGAAAAGCAGTCATTTCAGATTCTGATCATCTATCTGTTCAGAGAGTCTGGAATCCTTTGCAAGCCAATTGTTTCTCTAGAAGTTAGGTTTCTGGGGACAATTAAAACAGCCCCAAGTGGGCAGCTGTGGCTCCACTGCCTAGGCTGAACAAAGAGGAAAGGGCAGGGCTGGGCTGGGCAGGCCTCAAGATACCCCCTCCCCCACCCAGATTGCTTCCAGACATGGCCTTTGCTATTGGTTCTCTCTCCTCGGACCTTGAAATGAGAGAAGAAAAGCAATTTGGTTCCAGAAAATTCAGAGGCAAATTTGGTGGAGGTCCCAGGTGTCCCACCCAAGAGTCTGACCTGGAAGGCCAGAGAGCAGATGCCATATTAACACAAAGAATTAGCAGAGTCCTGTCAGCTTTCAAATTAGCTGAAGGTTTTGGCTTTAACATAATACCCATCAGCACCACCCCCGTGATCTGAAAGGTCTAAAGAGGCACATTTGTTCCCACATTGGAGCAGAAACTGAAGTGAGACCAAATGGTCCTTGTGAAAGCTGGGCTAACCCACTTTCCCTGCAGCTCCCAGCCTCTGGGGTTTCAGCCAAGCTGTTCTTTGAAGGCCACACTGTGTCAAAGCCTTTGTTGATGCCAGGGGCACAGCCCACCACAGGCCATACCCAAAGGCCAGAGTCACAGCACAACTTTGAAGGTTACAGAATACTCCAGAGAGACAAAAGACATGGAATAAAGGATCCCAGCACCCAAAAAGAGAAGGCTTAGTGTCTGCAGCCATAGCCCTCGGCAATCAGACATCCTCCTCCTTAATGTGAGGTTAAGAGGGGACTAGAAGTGCTCAGAGGAGGGACTGCCTCTGGCTAGTGCAGGGGAGAGGCAGGGGTGTTGAGGCACAGGAGCCAGATGAGAGGAACATCCGCAGAAAAGCAGTGAGAAGAACATGAGAGCTTCTTGATAGCAATAGAACTTCCTAGACAGACTGGGAAGCGGGATTGTAGCTTGAGGGGATATGACAATATGTGGTGGCCCTGAATTTTCACTTTGGAATGAACTGCTTTGGACCAGGAAGAAGCGCTGAGCCTAGGAAGACAGGAGGCACAGGGCTGTGTGGGTTTTTGTCTGGCAGGGACCTATGAGCTTCACAGGACAAATGGATCAGGGGGCAGGATAAAGCATACACCTCCACCCCCACAGTGCTCTCTTAGCCATCTCAGGCTTCCCAGAGCCCTTCACACTCACAGGCCTTTCTGCGTGGGTTCCCTTCCGCAGGCTGCGTAAACCAGTCCTGTTGTAGACCTTGTAGCATCTGCTGCAGTGATCTGGTTTGGGTTTCAGTAATACTTGCGATGGTTTGGAAGGAAATGGGAAGTTTGCCTTCTAACTACTTTTTCTTTTTGATTCAAGAACCCTAGCAGTTCTATAACCTTCTAGCCTAAAACCAAAATAGAAGACAAATAAATAAAAGGAAGTAAAAACATCCAATGGGCATGGCCTGGCAGCATTGCCAGAGAGAGCCCTCAGGGGCCCAGGCTTGTTCTGTGTTTTGCTCTTCCATTCCTAGGATGGACAGCACGAAAGAGGCAGTACATGCTAACAAAACCAGGGTTCTGGAAGAAGGGAGAGGTGGTGAATGGTTGTTTCAAGCAATCAACAGCTTATACTTCAATGGAAAGAGGGTCGGATTTGATTCCTGATCACAAATCTTCACTTCTGTCACCCACTAATCTCTGTGCCTTCAGGTAAGTCATTTAACTTTTATGTTCTTCAGTTTCCTTATGTGCAAAATAATTCCTACTTTGCAGAATGGTTGTGGGAGGTAGAGTTATCTTAAGACAGTCTAGCACAGTGTCTGCTACATGCTGGAACTCAAAACACTCCCTGCTGTCGTTATGGTCGGTTCTGGGAGCTATATTTAATTTTCTTCTTAGCCTTGCTGGTCTGTCACTCTCTTACTATAAGGAAGACAGCCATTTCTGCATAGGTCACTATGTGGCAGCAGCCTTTTCTATTTTTTTGTCTGCTCAGCATCTATATAATATCCACTGAATGAAAATACCAAAATTTATCTATTGTACTATGAATAGACCATTTGGAGTTTTCCCAGTTTTTTGCTATTACATACAATGTTGCTATGGACATGTTGTGGTACATGTGTCTAGCCATTTCTTCAGGGTAGAAACTAAGTAACATTTCTGGGTCATGTGATATGCCTGTCTTCAACCTCGCTATATAATGTCCCACATCTTTCCAAAGTGGTATACCAGTTTATCTTCCCGCTGGCAGCCTATGAGAATTTCAACGCTCCGCTACACTCCAACAGATTCTTAAAGCTTTGTCATTTTGTAGGCATGTAGTGGCATCTTACTGTGGTTTTGACAAGTTTCTGTTGGTTAATTGCAAGTGTCTTGCTTCCCTCCCAGTCATTTGTATATTTATTCTCTTTATAATATCTTCAGTGAATAGAGTTCTATGAAAAATTATTCTACGTATGCGTTTTTGTAAAGGATAGGATCTATGTTGCCCAGGTTGGTTTTGAATTCCTGGCCTCCAGATATCCTTCCACTGTTGCCTCCCAAAGTGCCAGGATTACGGTTGTGAGCTACCATGCCCGGACCTTGTTGGAATGCCTTTGTTCCCCAGATAGTGGGGAATGCAAATTGCTGACCCACAAATGTTCTTAGTTTTTAATGTAGTTAATGTTTTGTTCTTTTTTATTGCTACTTTCCCCTTATCATTGGTGCTTTTTGTTACTTACTTAAAAAATCTTCCGGATCCTGAAGGTATTTCCCTGTACAACCTTCTAAGAGCTGTAGGCTTTCACATTTCATGTTTAGGTATTTAATCCACCTTGGAATTGATTTTTGGGTGCTGTGAGAAGAATGCTTATAGATATCCAATTGATCCAGTACCTTTTACTGGTAATTTCTCAGTGACTCTGCATGCCCATCGCTGTCCAATACCATGTGTTGATGTATGCATGGATCTGTATTGGGGCTCTTCAATCTGTTCCATTGGTCTATTTGTTTATCAGCATCTCACTGTCTTCATATTTGTTAACGTAAATTCTTTTGCCTTACTTTTCAAGAGCGTCTTGGCTATCGTTGGCCTTTTAAAACTACTGTATACATTTTTGAATCAACTTGCCCCCGCTTCCTCCCCAAAAAAGCCAGTTAGGGTTTTTATCATTCTAGGACTATGGTAGATCCTTTCATTTATTTAGATCTACCTAAATGTCTCCCAATAGCATATTAGACTTTTTGTGGAAGGTTTGTATGTCTTTAGTAAGTTTTATTATTAGGCACTTAATATTTCTAGTACCCTTATTGAAGTAAATTGATAGGCATTAAGTGCATAATATTTAAAGTTTACAAATTAATAAGTTTAACATATGTATACACCCTGAAACTGTTACAGGAAAGGGGTCCTGATTCAGACCCCAAGAGAGGGTTCTTGGATCTTGTGCAAGAAAGAATTCAGGACAAGTCCTCAGTGCAAAGCAAAAGCAAGTTTATTAGGAAAGTAAGGGCTGGGCGCTGTGGCTCACACCTGTAATCCCAGAACTTTTGGAGGCGGAGGTAGGCGGATCACTAGGTCAGGAGTTCGAGACCAGTCTGGCCAACATGGTGAAACCCCGTCTCTACTAAAAATACAGAAATTAGCCGGGCGTTGTGGCAGACGCCTGTAATCCTACCTACTTGGGAGGCTGAGGCAGGAGAATCTCTTGAATCCGGAAGGCAGAGGTTGCGGTGAGCCAAGACCATGCTATTGCACTCCAGGGTGGGTGACAGAGCAAGACTCCATCTCGGAAAGAAAAAAAATATATATATACATATGTATATATATATATATTTTTGAGATGGAGTCTTTACTTTATATATAAATATATATTTATATTTACTTTATATATATATATTTATATATAAAATAAAGTGGTGAAAGGACAGTTGCTCCACAGGCAGAGAAGGACATTCCCAAAAGTAAGAGGAGGAACGCATCCACCATAGATACAAAGTGTTTGGGATAAATGATTAATTTTCTTAATTATGATATTTGGCAAGAATCAGAATTATTATCTTTAAAACAAAATTAGGAAGGCCTTTGTCCCCCAGATATCGGGATATCTAGACACTCCCAAGTCTGGGGTCTGTTTAGTAAACAGTATTAATTTGTTCCATTAACTGTAAACATCCAGAGGCTAGGAATGCCTAATTTTCTGGGAATTCAGTCCAACTAGTCTCAGCCTCATTTTCCTAGCTGTCACTCAAAATGGAGTCGCTCTGGTTCGAATGCCTCTGACGAAACCATTCTCACAGTCAAGATAATACAGTAAATAGATCCATTACCCCCAAATGTCTCCTCCTGGCCCGTTGTAACCCTTCCGTCTTAATCCTTCCTGCCCACACATCCTCCCTCTCCCTGTACCTAGGCAATCTGTTTCCATCACTATAGTTCAGTTTACAGTTTGCAGAATTTTATGTAAATGGAATCACACAGTACATACTCTATTTGATGTGGCTTTTTTCATACAGCATAATTATTTTGAGATGTATCTAGTTTGTAGTGAATATCAGTTGTTAATTGCTCTTTAAAAAACTTTTAATTTCAAAACAGTTATATATTCACAGGAAGTAGTAGGGTCTGTGTGCCTTTCACCCAGTTTCTCCCAATGGATGTAGCTTACATGATTGTAGTGCAGCATCAAAACCAATAAACAGACATTGACACAAGGTATGTGCATAGTTTCGTACTACTTTATTTTATATGGAGATTTGGGTAATCACCACTCAATCAAGGAGCAAGAACTGTTCCATCACCATGATCATCTCCCTCATGCTATCCCTTTAGAGTCACACCCAACCCCCTTCCTCTAGCATTCCTAGACCCTGGCAGCCACTAATCTGCTTTGCATCACTCAATTTTGTCATTCTGAAAATGTTATAAATGGAATCATACAGTATGTGATCTTTGGAGAGCATAATATCCTTGAGGTGCATCCAAGCTGTTACATGTGTCAGTAGTTCATTTTTGTTATTTATGCTTATTTTCTGACTGAGTAACGTTCTGTGGTATGGATGTATCACACTTAGCTTATGACTATTCACTCATTGGAGGAGGTTTTGGTTGTTTCCAGTTTGGGGCAATTGCAAATAAAGCTGCAATAAACAATCACGTACAAAGTATTGGGTGCACATATTTCATTTCTCTGAGACAAATGCCCAAGAGTACAATTGCTGGGGTGTATGTTAGTTTTTTTCTTTATATCCCCACAGGCAGCATATGCGAGATCCAGTTTCTTCATATCCTCACCAGAACTTGATATTGTCACTAATTTAGGTTTTGTTCTAATGGGTGTATAGTGACATCTGTTTGCGGGTCTTAGTTTGCATTGCCCTAATGGCTAGTAGTGTTGAGCATCTTTTCGTGTGTTTATTTGCCATCCATATATCTTCCTCAGGGAAATGTCTCTTACGGATCTTTTTGTTTGAGAGAGTCTCGCCCTGTTGCCCAGGCTGGAGTGCAGTGGCGCAATCTCAGCTCACTGTAACCTCCGCCTCCTGGGTTCAAGCGATTCTCCAGCCTGAGCCTCCCAAGTAGCTGGGACTACCTGTGCACACAACCACACCAGGGTAATTTTTGTACTTTTTAGTAGAGACAGGGTTTCATCTTGTTGGCCAGGCTGGTCTCAAATTCCTGACATCAAGTGATCCTCCCGCCTCAGCCTCCCAAAGTGCTGGGATTATAAATATGAGCTACCACACCCAGCCATCTCTTCAAGTCTTTAGTCCATTTTCTAATTGAATTGCTTTTTGTTACTGAATTTTGAGAATATATATTCATTTATTCTAGATAAAAGTCCTTTGCCAGATACAAAGTATGCAAATAATATTTTCTCCCAGTCTCTCTTTTTATTTTTTTATTTAAATTTTAAAAATTATATTGCAACAAATTTGCTCTTCAGTAATGCAAATGAAGATTCTCCCAAAATTCAAGGTGGATCACAGTGGTTTTCATGACATGATTCCCCTCTTGTAGACTTCTCCAGTCTCTTAATAGAGTCTTTCACAGAATGAAAGTTTTTTTTTTATGAAGTCCAGTGTGTTGATTATTTTTTCTTCTATAGATTGTGCTAGTTTATTGCTTTTTGTTGCTGAATAGTATTCCATTGTATGGCTATACCATTATTTATTCATTTGTTGATGGACATTAGGTTCTTTCTAGTTTTTGACTATTACAAATAAAGTTGCTATGAGCATTTGTGTATAGGTCTTTTTGTAGGCTTCAATTTCTCTTGGGAAACACCTAGGAATGGAATACCTGACTCATGTAATAGGTGTATGTTTCACTTTTTAACAAACTACCAAATTATTTTCCAAAGTGGTTGTACCATTTTATATACCCACCAGCATTCTATTAGACTTCCTGTTCTTCTATGTGCTTGTCAAAACTTGGTATGGTAAGTCTTTTAAATTTAGCCATTCTAATTAGTGTGTAGGTATATGTGACTACTGTCTTAATTTTTCTTTTCCTAATGACTAACAATCTTGAGCATCTTTTTATATCTTCATCGGCCAAGTATCTGTTCATATCTTTTGCCCATTTTTATTAGATTTTTTCTCTGAATTAAATAAATATTCTAGATGCAAATCTTTTATTAGATATGTTATTTGCAAACATTTTCTTGTCTGTCTTTTCATTCTCTTACCTGTCATATTGGATTAGAGGCCACCCTAATGACCTA